CGGGCGGGGGCGGGCCGAGCCCTCGCCGCTGCCCGCGGGTTTCGCTTACAGCGCGGCCGGTGAGTCTCTGCGGTCCCGTTCCCTCCCACCCGGGGAAACGGGCCCGCCTGCGGGGTCGGCCCTGCCCGCCGCCCCCAGGTGCCCCGGGGGAGAGGGTCGGGGTCGCCGTCCCGGTGCTGCCGCTGGGTCCCGGTCCCGGGGCTCCGCTCCCACCACCCCGTCCCAACCCCTCCGTTTCCCTGCACAGCTCCGGAGATGGCTGCGGAGAGCAACGGGGCGGCCCCGGCCGCTGTGCCCTCCTGTTTGGAGGGGAAAGGCCCCGGCGAGCGGGCGGCCATCCTCCACCAGCACCTCGGCCGCAGGGAGATGACCGACGTGATCATCGAGACCATCCAGCCGCGGCCAGGTACCGGCCTCGGGGGGGAGAAATGCCTTTTTTCGGGTCTGTGGTTGTTGCCCACCCCGCTTGTGTGGTGGCCCCGTATTGCGGAAGGGGAGCGTGGCGCTCCCCAGTCACTGGCCCCGCTGGTGACAACTGTCTGTCAGTGTGGGGATGGCGGAGGTGCTGCTGGGTTGGCAGGTCTCAAGCCGGCCATGCAGTTTAGAAAACAAGTCGAGAAGTTAAGGAATGTGTGCTGGGGACTGGACAGGAGAGCTGGTTATTGCTGGCAAACGTTTCGCACCTCTGCAAAGGGTTAATTTATTTTGGGCTCTGCCGTGGGCTGGTTGGTGTTTTGCTTGCCAGCATTGCTGGCCCATAGGAATGGGACCGTTTGGCTCTGCAGACATTAAATTCCCTGATAGAGGGGGAGTTTCAAGACAGAAGCTCCCAAGTCGCGTCGAATGCCCGAGTCGCCATCAGAGCAGCGCAGGAGGAGCAGCTCGCTGCTGCAGGCTCTCCTCGCCCATGCTCAGCAAACCCGTCCTGGCTGCTTTGTGCTGATACCAGTGCCTGCTGGGATTTCACCAGGCATGGTTCAAAACTCATCTAGCTTGATCTGCAGCACCGGGTCCTGCCAGGGGCTCGACCAGGTGTCTGGCAGCTCTGGAGTTTCTCTGTAACAGCAGAGATGAGAGGTGTCTCGTTCTGCTGCTTTCCAGGGTTGTAATTTGACTTCTCGGGGTGCTGTTGCGTACACTCAGGCTGTGCTTAGGGAACGGCAGACGTTTCTGATGAGCCATTAGTAATGTGGAAACTTTTGGTTTGTAAAAGATGAAACAAAAGCTGGCATGGAAGGAAGAAAATCTTCAGAGGCTGCATCTGCTGAGGACAAAAATAAACATGACGATCAAAGTAAAGAGCGTGAGGCTGCTCCAGACTCGCCTTCAAAACAGCTCCCTGACCAGATTTCCTTCTTCAGCGGGAATCCCTCAGTTGAAATCGTTCATGGCATTATGCATCTGTACAAAACAAAGTAAGAATGCTTGACTAATTGTAGCTCTGATGGGAACAGTGCTCCTGAATAATGCTGCCACCCGGAAGGGTGAGTCTGTCACCCCGGGGCTGTGGCTCCCGAGCTGGGACAAACAGGAAGGGTGACTCGCACCCGGGAGGGCAGACAGGTCCCTGTGTGAATGGTAGAGCTTGAGGCTGGGCCGGGTCCCCGGGCCGCGGGTGATGCCGCTCCAGGCGGGGAGGGCTTGTGCTGGGGGCTGTAATAGCGTAAGACAAATGCAGGGTCTTAAAAAATGACATTAGAAAGGAACTTCTCAAGGGATCCCACAATTAAATTGTGATCTCTGGGATCCTGGTGGGAGCTGTCTGAAGTGGGAGGTTCCATCCCATGTTTCAGGGATTACAGTTCCATGCCGTTCCCCTGTAACTGCACGAGAACTTCCATTTTGGGTCTTCCTGAAAGCTATCAGGAGACACAAAATGGACATTTGAAATACGGACAAACATTGCTCATTTGTTCTAGGAATAGTTCTGAGCATCTGTGGCTTGCCAACATCAACTGTTTCTATAGAAAAACAGATGTCAAATTATTCCTGACAAAACCATTGTTTATTGGAGCTGCCCAGTGTAATCCTTTGCTAAAGAGTAATAGTTTCACGTGGGTATGTTGGATGCTTACCACACCCCCTTGCTTCTCTTTCTTAACATCTACAAACGTGCAAAAGAGGATTAAGATTGACAACAAAGCTGTTGTAGTAACTGCGGCTGTTGGAAGTGTGGTGTATCCAGCTCTGCCTTTGTCCTGTCTGAAATGACGTGAGGTTGTGTCACTGTTGCCTTATCAGCAAGATGACCTCTCTAAAAGAAGACGTGAGGCGCAGCGCCATGCTGTGTATCCTCACGGTCCCTGCTACGATGACCAGTCATGACCTGATGAAGTTTGTGGCCTCCTTCTACGAAGTCATCGAGCACATGAAAATCATCCGAGATTCCACTCCAAACCAGTACATGGTGCTGATAAAGTTTAGCTCGCAGGTAAGAGCTGCAAGTCCCTTTGCTGTAGAAGGGACAGCGCTGTTGCGTACAGCTGCTGTTCAGGCGCGCTGTCTGGCTTCGCTGGCCAGCTGTTAGCCAAGATTGCACTTCACCCTCAGAGAGACAGTCCTGTCCTATTGCCCGGAGCTTTCCCGGAGCTGCTGACTAGGATTAGTCCCACACCTTGACCTGGAGGCAAGCGTCTGCCATGTTCTAGCTATCCTATTTCTTGTTGGCAGGATGTTTTTAAAAAATGGTAAGGATACCCAGTTCTCTGCTATCTCAGAGCATATTCAAAAAGAGAGTGGTGCATTGTACTGTGCTGAGCCCCCCCAGCCGGTGGGACTTCGGTTGCGTTTTAGGAAAGACTTGTTCTGCTTTTCTGAGGAGCAGGGTGGTCTCACAGCCACTGCCAGTACAGTGTGAAAGGGACAGTCTCCCCCAAAACTGAGAGTCTAAGGGATGAATTGATAACCAGGTAACACAGTTCGCTGCTCACAGGTCATCTCGAACTGTGTAGCTTTAAGCATTCCCCCCTGCCAATTCCTGTGTGGACCCTCTCACGTCTACCTTCTTTTCTCCCAACTGCAAATGACTTATTTTGGGGTTGGGGGAGAGGTTTCCCCCAGCTGTGAACGCTGCGTGAGATATTTCCCATGCCTGTTGTGCAGATGCAGTATTTGTGTGCATTTTGTGCTATTTGCAGTAGTGGCAAAGATGCGTTTTGTATGTCGCTGTATCAGATTTCAGGGGCAAATATCTGGTGCTACACAGCCTTGCAGCAAATCTGTAAACTTATACTCAATTCACCCTGAAATCCCTGTTTCTTGAGAAATTCCCTGAAGCCCTGTTCCCCAATTGACCCTAAAGGCAGCAAACGCAGATCTCATGGGCCTTTATGCTTCTGGCTGGAGCAACCAGGAATATGGGCATGTGGCATTCAGCTAATTTGCCTCAATCTGGCATGATAGTTTGCGAGAGAAAGGGTTTGGGGAGGTTACTGAGTGAAAATGGATGATGTATTTGACAGGTTTTGTTTTGGTTCTGCCTCTTTGCAAGTGACTCTCGGGCATGGTTCAGAGCATGCCTGAGTTGTGACCGGTGAAATGGATCCTTTCCCACAGGTAAATTGTTGCTCCTTTCCCCGGCAAAAGTATCGGTGTCCTGTAATGTGGCCCTCTTAAATTTTTGCAGAGACGAAATTTGCTTTGCAAATGCACTGAAAGTGCTGACAAAGGGCAAAACAGATGCTGAAGGGAAATCCGTTA